GAGACACTCAATAAAACCAGTCATAACAAGGCCAGAGGCCGACTGTGGAACAGATCATCAATAGCTCATATGCAAGTCCAAGTTGAAGTTTAAGAAAATTACAACACATTCAAGAGAGCCAAATTACGACCTTGAGTATATCCCACCTGAATTTAGAGATCATTTCAATAATAGATTTTACGCATTGAACACTAATGACCAAAGACCAGACAAATCGTGAGATGACATCAAGGACATCATACATGAAGAAAGCAAAAGGTCATAAAAAGACAGGAAAGAAAGAAAAGACCAAAATGGATGTCAGAAGAGACTCTGAAACTTGCTATTGAACATAGAGTAACTAAAGCCAATGGAAGAAATGATCATGTAAAAGAGCGGAACAGAAGATTCGAGAGGGCAGCTTGAGAGACAAAGAGCTGGTTTGATGGTGGTATGTTTATTAATGAAATTTCTGGATTCACAAAAATTTGTATAACCAGAGATGACTGGCTTAGGGCAGGAACTTAGCTCTTTTGACACCAATTCTATTATCCCTGAAGCTGTCAGTTTGAGACATCATGAATATTAATTTGCCTTTCAGAAAGGATAATCTATGCGACCATTTCAATATTCCTAGATTTTACCTGGATATTATTTACTCAAAGGCAGCATTACCAGTAGTATCAGGTCTGGGAATCTTTCTAAGATTTGTTTAGTTCATATTTATTAGGACCAGTATGAGTGTAATACAAAATTTATCTGGGATTTTCAAAGACTCATACTCTAAAATTTCTGTTCTAATGTTCATATGAATGAATAAACAATGACAGATATTAAGGGAAAAAAAGACAAAAAAAATTAGAATAGGAAGGCTAATCCTACATAGTTTAAAATAAATTTTAAAGTATCTATAGAGTCACTATGAATTGGAATCGGCTCGACAGCAATGGGTTTGGTTTTTTTAGTTTTATTGTTAAAATGGTGTAGTATAGGGACAAACAGATGTTAAAGAGCCACGTGGGCATCTTTCCTTAGCCATATGAAGAAAATATAAAATTTGATCTCTTACTTGCTACACACATCAAAACAGGTTCTGAAAACAAAGTTTAAAATTTAGATTATAGGAATATACAGAAACTTCATCGCAAAAACAAAAGAACATAAATTAAAATCACAAATAAACTGAGGAAAAAGTTACCACTTATACCACATAGCGTGGAGGAGAAGAATGACAATTAGTCCCATAGAAAAATGGACATAAAATATAATTAGAGAGCCCTCGTTAAACAAAGAGCTCTAAAAGGTATGAGGAGTTGTTCAATAGGGCTTACAACAATAGAGCACAAATGAAAATTGCCATCAGATATCATTTCTCATCTATCAGAATGGCACTTAGTCAGTTAATATTTGATAATTATGACTCCTATAGATACATATTCTTGATAACTATGGGACAATATAGGAGTGTTCAGGAAACTGGGGAAGATGACTTTAAAATACAAATTATTTCTTATAAAACTTTCCTAATGATACTACGATTTCCCTCCAGGTTTTCTAGTACGGCTGAAGAAGGTAGTTAATTTTAATTGTTTGGTTTTTGTTCTGTAGAGAATGGGGCAGCAGACAGTCTCTAGGGTTCATGTCCCAAGGTCATGGCTACAGATATAAGATGCATATACTTGACTCCCAACCAAGTTTCCCAGAGGCAGGAGAGGCCTTCTCTTTGCCTTTAGCAGGTTTGTTTTAGGATTTTCAAGACAATGATTTTAACTTCAATATAGGGTGCCTAGAAAACAACTTAACCTTTAGATGTAGAGAGTTCTTGAGGAATATTGAGCCATTGCTAAAGGTACTATTTTGGAAAAGGTGCATATCTGAATATACAAGGAACAGGATGTACACCGTTTATGCACAGCTTTGCATAGAGGACCTGGCTCATCAGAGCTCGTTAATAATAGTGACCAGGATGACAGGTACCTACCTGGGGTGGGGAATTAGAGGAGCCTTGAGAGTTTTGGAAGGTGTATTTTCTTACTTTTGTAACTTTTTGGAGCAGCTGTCAAGGTAGAATAGATAAGTATTTAAGTGGAATGAAATAATCAGAGATTGGACAGAATCTTTAGTAAGAAAAATGTATCTATCTATCTATCTGTCTATCTACCCATCTATCTATCTGTCCGTCTGTCTCTCTGTCTATCTATCTCTGTATCAGTCTATCTACCTATCTTTCCAGCTTTAATTAAGATTGCAAAACATAAAGCAGGAAACGCATGAGCCCCTAGACATTAAAAGAACAGTAAAAAAGGAGGAAATTATCGGAAGAAGATTTTAGCTATCATGTTTTCTGGACTAAATAAGAGAATAAATTTATCATCAATTTAATATCAACATTTGGGACAGAGAAAAGCCATTACATTAAAGATATGTGTTTGATTAAATTTAACTTTTAAATGCCTTAGATATGTGAAATATGGTGTTAAAAGAAAAAAAATGTGGTAATTAGAATGACTAGTTGTGTGATGGGTTGCCTTTTGAAATTGCCTTCAACACTCAGATTTATACAGGAACAGGATAGGGCCATTGAGGGTCTCAGTTTAGCGCATGACCTGACATCGTTTTTCTGGGCCATCTGAAAATGATTTCTTAGGTATCAGAATCAGAAATAAACTTACCAGAAATCATACACAGAAAAAGAGTTTCCCAGTATGTTGGGATCTGAGAGGTGCTGGGCACCTATTGTAGAAATACAATGATTATTTTGTGTTAATGTTTGTTTCCTCATGAAATGACTTAATTGTGCACTACTACTCCATGGAGCTCCAGTGGCACAGTGGTTAAGAGCGTGACTGATAACTGAAAGGCTGGCAGGTCAAATCCACCAGCCACTCCTTGGAAACCCCATGAGGCAGTTCTACTCTGTACTACAGGGTCGGAATAGATTCGATGGCAACAGGGTTTTTTCTTTTTCAACTCCATTTTGTAAATTCTTACACACTTGTAATACAGGGATAGAATGAGTACTATAGGTGTGTTGAAGGAAGAGAAGTGAGTGGGAGAGACATTGGGAAAGGGAATTTCTAAGTCAGAGTCTTATTTAGTCCTGGTGTGTAACCTGTTTCTATCGAGGTGATTCTGACTCATAGAGACTCATAGGACAGAGTAGAACTCCCTATAGGGTTTCCAAGGAGTGATTGGTGGATTCAAACTGCTGGCCTTTTGGTTGGCAGCCAAGCTCTTAACCTCTGTACCACCAAGGCCCCTCCTGGTGTGTAAACACATCTAAGTCCCATTCTCCTATGTTTCCTATGGACGCTGCTGTAAAATATATCTCTGTGGCACTTAACAGTGTCATTGGAATATTTTCCATAGTTTTAGAGTCTCTAGTTGCTCAAAATTAAAGAGAATGATTGTTAACAAAGGAAATATATTAGTAGATAGACCTGTAAAATGGACCAGTGTCTAGAGTAGAGAAATGGATACATGGCTGGGATCATTGATTGGTCTTTATCTGCATGTCTCTGTCAAAGCCAAGGCTTCTTCTGACTTCTGTTATGTCACCTCTAGAATAAGGATGCAGGCTAGACTTATCTTTATCATCTGTTCTAATTTTTTTATTCCTTAAGCAATGAGGAAGAATTGGATTTTAAGACTCCTTGATTTGGAGAATATAAAAAAAACATTGTCGACAAGTCAGCTTGGAATCATGGCATCCCTCTCTGTGTAAGAGTAGAATGGTGCTCCATAAAGTTTTCAATGGCTGATTTTTCAAAAGTAGATCACCAGCCCTTTTTTCAATAGTTCCCCTAGGTGGACTGGAAACTCCAAACTTTCGGTTTCCTGCCAAGTGCATAAACCATTGGGACCACATAGGCTATTAAAAAATAATTAAGATTTATTCTGATATCAAATTTACTGTGTCAGAAAGAAAAACAAAGATTAAAGTACTGTACAGAATTAACAATAAAAACACAAATGGGAAGTGTTAAGGCTGTCTATTTTTTATATCTATGGTATGTACATTTGAAGTAACAATTAAATAAAATAATCTAAATTTTTCTATTTTTTGTTATTGACCGTGGAGCTGACATAATCTGTCACTGCATTCAGCTAGGCTTGTCTTTTATGAACTTAAAAAGTATTCAAGGAGAACTGAAAGTTTTATGTGAGAATTTTATTACAAATTACCACATAATCCCTAAATCTCATTTGTATATATTTGTAAGTAATAAAAATTAAAGTTGAGAACTTAAGCAAAATTCAGTTTGATGGTTTTGTTTTTCTTAAGAAAATTTTTTAAAAATGGTTATCATGTTTTAAAATTTTAGAAGTTTATCATACCTTGGAGACCTGGTGGTACAGTGGTTAACAGCCATGGCTTGCAATGGCTTCTAACCAAAAAGGTCAGCAGTTCAATCTACCAGCAGCTCCTTGGAAACCCTATGGGGCAGTTCTACTCTGTTCTATAGGGTTGCTATGAGTCAGAATGGACTTGACGGCAATGGATTTGTTTGTATGGTATCATAAAAAAAGAAAAACAACTCATTGTCGTCGAGTCCATTTTGACTCATGGCGACCCCATAGGATAGAGAAGAACTGCCCCATAGGGTTTCCAACAAGCAGATGGTGAATTTGAATTGCCGATCTTTTGGTTAGCAGACGAATGCTTAACCACTGGGATACCTTGCACAGTAAACACATAAAGAGCTTCTGAAAGAGATATCTTATCCAGTCTTGGCAAGGGATGGTTCACCAAGCTTCCTATAGCCTCACTGTCTTTAATATATATATGTATACATATTTTATTTCCAGGACTGACTTTCAGATTTTGACAAACAGAAGCCATGTTATTGTCAGAAAGAAATAAAAGT